CTACCTACCTACCTATCTATCTGGAAGGGAAAGAAAGAGAAAGGAAAGAAAGAAAGAAAGAAAGAAAGAAAGAAAGAAAGAAAGAAAGAAAGAAAGAAAGAAAGAAAGGAGAGAGATGATAGAGTAGAATATAGCATTCAATAGAAAGAGGTCTGCTTATCTTGAATAGGTTTTTCTGAAAAGCCTTCATTGTCTAATTAAAGATAATAGAACAGTTGGTGTGAAGAGATACAAGACAGTTTGCCAATTTTGATAAGCTCTCAAAGGATTTATACATTCTGTCAGCCATGGAATCCAATTGGGTGAATTTCAACTGGTCGTTGTCTATCAGCCCAGGATATTGCTGAAAAAAATTAGAGAGGAAATACCTAGGAAAAAAGGCGAAATACAATTCTAAGAAACAAACAGAAACTGAAAAGTTTCTTGGAAGTAATTTGCTGCTGTGAAAAGGGAGCATCAGTGTGGTACAGTGGTTGGATTCTGTTAATTTTTATTATATTTGTATTTATTCATTCATATGTTTGTATTTATTCATTTGTACATACTCATTGGTATTTATTCCCACCTTTATTATTTTTACAAATAACTGAAGGTGGCAATCATATCCAACCCACCTTCCTCCTCCTACCCTGTGAGGAGAATTGGGCTGAGAGAGAGTGACTGGCCCAAGGTCATGTCAGATTAGCCCAAGAAGTGAGAGTTTTTGAAGATATTTTCAAATGTGTATAAATACCAGCAGCTCTTATGGCAGTTTTAGGGACCAGGGTGTTTAACTTCCTATTCAATGTAATTTCTTTTCTGAATTTACCTCACAATGTTGCTGTGAGGATAAAACGAGAGGCAAGAGTTCTGTATACATTTGCCTCTTGAGAAAGAAAGGATTGGGGGGGAAAAAGTTTGATTTCTTCCTTTAAAAGTGACTTCTTCGTTTTTAGGCCACAGTTTGGAGGGAAGTATTGCACTGGGGAGAGAAAGCACTATCGTATGTGCAATGTTAAAGGGTGCCAAAAGTCAACACCAAATTTCCGTCAAATGCAGTGCAGTGAGTTTGATACAGTTGCCTACAAAAATGAATTCTACCAATGGATTCCAGTTTATAATACAGGTAAGGGAAGGGAATACAGGTAAGGGAAGGGGAAATAATCTGCTAAGAATCTGGATAATAATCTGGTTACCAATCTAGATTTCGTTTAGATGAGTGCTTTCTTGTCCATACAGGCACAGTTTGTGAAAATACCTCAAAAATATTGGCACTAAAGAATGGTTAGCGACATGGTGGCTCAGTGGCTAAGACACTGAGCTTGTTGATCAGAAAGATCGGCAGTTTGGCAGTTCGAATCCCTAGTGCCGCATAATGGAGTGAGCTCCCGTTACTTGTCCTAGCTTCTGCCAACCTAGCAGTTCGAAAGCATGTAAAAATGCAAGTAGAAAAATAAGGGACCACCTATGACCACGGAGACGTCTTCAGACAGCACTGGCTCTTCGGCTTTGAAACGGAGATGAACACCGCCCCCTAGAATCAGGAACGACTAGCACATATGTGTGAGGGGACCTTTACCTTTTAAAGAATGGTTCCTTAAGGAGAAGGATACCGCTACTACAGGTGGTCCTTGACTTGCAACCTCAATTGAGCCCAAAATTTATGTTGCTGAGCAAGACAGTTATTAAGTGAGTTTTGCCCCATTTTACGATCTTTCTTGCCACAGTTGTTAAATGAATCACTGCAGTTGTTAAATCAGCCACACGGTTGTTAAGGGAATCTGGCTTCTCCCCTTGTCCATAGGTCGCAAAAGGGGATGACATGAACCCAGAACTCTTCCACCGTCATAAATATGAGTCAGTTTCCATGCATCTGAATTTTGATCATGTGACCGTAGGGATGCCGCAATGGTTGTCAGTGTGAAAAATGGTCATAGGTCATTTTTTTCAGTGCCGGTGTAACTTTGAACAATTGCTAAACGAACTGTTGTATGTTGAGGACTCTCTGTAATTTAGATTAGACTACAGTTGAGGTTGCTCTTTCCAGCCAATAATCCACTCCTTCCTGGGGTAGATTCTTGGATCCAATGGCTAAAATGCCTTTCTGGAGCAGCTCTTTGTCAAAGCTTACCCATTTTGGTTATTTATTTATTTAGTTCTTCCCGTTCCTTGGGTTGAGCAGAGCAAGCAGTCTTTCCTCTCCTTTGCTTTATTACTAAAAAAAAGGAACATAATTCTGAGAGCAATTTCACTATTTCAAGATGCTCTGTACATTCCTGTATTTTGGGTTGCTGACTTCAGAGAAAGAGGAAAAGAAAAAAAAAAGATATCGACACAGGGGTTAGTGAAAAGAAATGTGGGTAGGAGGCAAATTAATGAATATGAAGGATAAAAGAAAATTACATGCCTGCAGTGGAGCGCCTAAATGCCTAAAAGCTGCAGTTGTGGCTAAGCTAAAATCAATGCTTTCTGTCCAGTAACAAAAAGAAAAAAAAACAGTTTATGACTTCTACTGGTCAATTATTGTATTTTCCAAGTATAGACATTTAAGCAGTAACAGTTAATATTCTCAGTTCTGGTTTCCCGCTAATAATGTTTTTGGCCCACAAACGCAGTTGAGAATAAATAATTTTGGAAGGTATTTACAAATATGTGTAAATATCAGCAGCTGTTATGGCAGTTTTAGGAACCAGCATGGCAGTTCCATTATGTAAAATGACTCATGCCAGTTGTTGGTTTTGTGAAATAAACCTGACTCTCTTGCCCCACCCACTGTCTATCTGATAGCTATGTTGTCTCTCATGTGAGAGCTCCCTTGGCAGCATCTCTGCCTATTCTCCCTCTCTTGTGTCTTCAGTTGGTATTGCCACTGAGTCCCAAGGTCTTCCTCACATACCATTACAGTGGTACCTCGGTGCTCAACTGCTTCAAAACTCATCAAATTTGATACTCAGCGCTCCCGCTACTGAACTGATAGTGAAGAAAATCGCATACCATTACTGCTCTGAAGTACTAATTTTTACAAAAACAGCTTTGAATCTTTAATATCAAATGAAACATGATACCATTAAAGCCTTACAATGTGGCTTTTAAATATGCTTTATTGATGTAATCTTTGGGATTTCTCCTAGTTAATCCATGTGAGCTGCAATGCCGACCTACAAGCCACAATTTTTCAGAGAAGATGTTAGATGCTGTAATTGATGGCACACCTTGCTTTGAAGGAAACAGCTTCAGAGACGTCTGCATTAATGGCATGTGTAAGGTATTGGGTATGTTTCCTTCTCTGGAATCTTCATGGGACTTCAAATTTGCAGACTTACAAAAATGGGCCAGGCAGATTGCAGCTTTATATCCTGGTGCCAGCTTGTATGTCAATAGTGGACAACGTTTTGGTGGCCAAGTTTATCAGAGTTTGTTGCAGAAAAATCAAATCCAGAAAGCACACACAGATAACTGATTCAGCTGAATTAATTAATTTCTTTATATACATAATAGCAATAGCAATAGCAGTTAGACTTATATACCGCTTCATAGGGCTTTCAGCCCTCTCTAAGCGGTTTACAGAGTCAGCATATCGCCCCCCACAGTCTGGGTCCTCATTTCACCCACCTCGGAAGGATGGAAGGCTGAGTCAACCTTGAGCCTGGTGAGATTAGAACCGCTGAACTGCAGATAACAGTCAGCTGAAGTGGCCTGCAGTACTGCACCCTAACCACTGCACCACCTCGGCAGATGAATAAATGTACAATACCAATAGTCGATTCTTTCAAAGTGGCAGAAGTTACAAACAGGAGAGAATGGTTAGTTTCATTTCAGAGTTCAGAGCAGACAGAGTAGTTTCAGTTACAATTCTCAGCACAGACTCAGATCTGTTTAAGCTCCCATTGGCTGACTTAGTTGCTATGCCTATTCATTGGCCGACCTTGTTACCATGTCTCTCCCAGTTATGAATATTCTAACAAAGTTATTATTTGGGAAATGGATGATAAGGCAATATGGTATGGGTGGGTGTGATTGGTGTTTTTTTTTATTTCAGTGTATTTTTTATTTCAACATGGGAGGGCAAGATATTATTGAACTTTGGCAATTTTACTGTCAAGATTCAGCAAGCTCTGGAGATTGAAAGTTGCCCATCTCAGCTTTTTGGCTCTTCCTAGATAAGCTACCCAAACTCACCCATTTCTGCTTCAAAGATGGGAGATAGTCTAAGAATAGGATTGGATGGCCAGGATCAGAGAATCAGACAAAAGCTGAGGATCATTGAAATATAAGGTGTACTAAATTCTGGGACTGTAACACTGTATTTGGGTGGAGAAAAGATCAGAAGTGAAAGTCATTGGCAAGATAACATACTTCATATGATCACAGTGCTTAATCCCAATTAGTAGACCAATATGCGTCCTGTGCTTTCCAATGGAGACAGCTCAGCAATTTAGAGAGTGGCAAACATAGCTACTGATATTCCAATGAATTTATCACTAGTAGGAGATTTGAAAACCCAAACATTTGGGGAATTGAGACCATTAAATATTTAGAAACAATAATGTGGCACATAAGGCTGATCTTAATATTTCCATAATCATGATGGGAAGATGTCTTAATACCGTGTTTCCATTAAAATAAGACAGGATCTTATTTTCTTTTGACTCTGAAATAGGCACTTGGCCTTATTTTCAGGGTGGTCCTATTATTTTTTGAGGTGCAGGAGGCGGCGAGTGAGGTCACCTCATGGCGGCTGCTGTGTTGCAATATTTTGGGGAGGGCTTATTTTCAGGGGAGGGCTTATTTTAGCACATGTGCTCAAAAGCCCGATTGGGCTTATTATCCGGGGAGGTCTAATTTTGGGGGAAACAGGGTAAGCTGTTTAAGTAGGTCATTGCTTCATCCTCCCCTACTTTCTTTGAAATTCGTTATGGAAAATAGATTTCATAGGAATGGTCCACAGGACATAATCAGAGATTTCTAGTTGATATTTTAATTCTCAAAAACCATTTGAAATAGCTTGTTCAGTGGAGGTAGTTTTAATTAGATTTGAGAGATTGGATGCACCAATAAACTGCAGAAAACCTTAATGGTACAAATTGTTAAGTCTTCTCCGCTTCATGATGTCCCATTTCACTTGATAAGTTTTTGATGGCCCCCAAATAATGGGGAGGTTGAGTTGAAGCTCCATACCCATCAAATGTTACCCATGTCTGCTGAAAGTGGCAAAATATTAAATGCTAGCTCTGAGAAATTCTATTCTTCTAATGTCCCAGACCAGCATTTTCCTGATGACCTAGAGATGGAACCTGCCCATTTTTGTCATTGCAAAACCCCCATAATAGTTCTAATAATAATAATAGTATACTCCTTATTTTAGATCAGGGGTGTCAAACTCAAGGCCCTGGGGCCAGATCCGGCCCGCAGGGTACTTAGATCTGGCTGCTCTGGAAACAGCCTGCTGTACTTCTGCTGGTGAAAACAGACTCCCAAGCTCCATTTTCAGCTGCCATGGCCTCCTGCAACCCTCTTGTCAGTGAAAATGGAATATGTGGCCCTCCTGAGCTCCGTTTTCACTGGCAGAGAGTCGCAGGAGGCTGTGGCAGCCAGAAACTGAGCTCAGGAACCTGTTTTCTCTGGCAGAGTGCTTGGGCCACCACAGGAGTGATGTTGAGTTGGCCACACCCACCCTGACCCCTCTACCTCAGCCCCCCCCCGAGGTCAAACACAACCCTGATATGGCCCTCAATGAAATCGAGTTTGACATCCCTGTTTTAGATGATGACTGTCAAACAGAGTAAAGGTTTCAGACTTCTTAATGGAGCTGTGGAGACATAAATCTGGATGGCAGTTTATAAGATAACAATTACTTTATTTTGTATGATTTCAAATTGTGAGATTGGTAATGATTACTGAGAATAAAAGGCATTCTCTTCAGATCAATCCATAACTCTTCTTTGGGTTGAAATAATGACATCTGAATAATCTAGTAATTAACACAAACTACTAATTCAAGTATTTATGAACAAATGCTAATGAGTCAAGACATATCTTGAAGCTGGTAAATTATTAATATAAAACCTGCTATATTGGACAGTCCAATAATTTGAAATTCCAGGGTCCAGTCATTAAACCAATCAACAAAAGCTCAGAAACTATTAGGCAAATCTTGAAAGGTTTTGTTGATTTTATCCATAAAAGTATATATGATCTGACGTGAGAAAGCTAACATGTCCTGCATTTTTATCTGAAAGCTGATGAAAGATTAGCTTTACACCCTAACATCAATTTCATATGAAGGCATCAACATTTTGCAAGTCAACCTTTTTAAAAACTAAGTTTAAAATTTTATGGCTGCCATCCTGGGGCATCATAGGAAGACACACCATGACTTTTTAAAAATTAACTCTGGCCATATAATATTCCTGGAAAGATGAAAGAAAGAAAATGTGTGGAGGTAGCATTATACTTCTGATAGTATATAGTTGTGTCTTCCAGCATACGCCTCACACACCCAATCTGAAAAAGCCTCAAGAGAATTAATGGTTCTCAACAATTTGGGTCATTTTAGCAACCTCGGAAGGATGGAAGGCTGAGTCAACCTTGAGCCTGGTGGGATTTGAACTGCCAAATTGCAGGCAGCTGGCAGTCAGCAGAAGTAGCCTGCAGTACTGCGTTCTAACCACTGCACCACCATAAGAATTTCTCTTCTTTCTAAAAAGGTCTTTCAGTAGCATTTTTTTTCCTTCTACTGTGAAAAGTGAGACCCAGAGTGATCTAATGGTTAAAGTGCTGGACTGTGAGTGGGGTGGCCCAGAATCTAGTCTTTCCTTAATTATGGAAGCCACTTTAATCAGTCACCCCCTCTAAGGAGTGCCAGGCTCAGCAACGAAGAGTTTATGACAATTCGCCCCAGCCAACTTGCTGCAAGATCATCTTGCCACAAGACCAACTCGGTGCGGGACAAGAGTTGCAGTAATATCAAGGAAATGGTGGGATGGAATCATTAAAGAAAGGATGCAAAAGGAGGGACGGAATGAAATTTGCAGGGCAAAAATTACAATAATTTTTTATTTTATTTTAAATAATTAAATAGAATTGATAAATTGCCTCTCAGCGAGTTGGCTGTGGCGAGTTGACTGTGATGAGTTGGCTGCAGCAAGTTGTGCCATGGTGAGTTGGCCGTGCTGAATTGGCTACAGTAAGTTGGCTGTGACAAGTTGTCCGATTTCCCAGCAAACTAACTGGCTGAAGAACAAAGCCCCTCATTACATCATCCACTGGTGGCTTCTCTATGTAAACCACGTGAGTGCAATGCAAAGCAAGGGCACATTGAAGCTAAATGAGACAAACATTAAGGCCAACATTTTGCATAAGAACTGGTAGGGAAAAAGTAGGATAGTTTTTTCTCCAGGATGCTACACAGCACCAAGAAAAGGAAATATCTAAGCTCAGGGTTGAAATGAGGGGTCCTGATGTTTTCTGAGATTGGTTGTTTTGTTGCAGACATGTCATTACCCAAATTAAGTATCCTCATCTATGCTAACATCACCATCAATGCTATACACATATTTCTGACGTTTGCTGTTGAGTTTGGCAAGTTCAAAGTCAGGAAATAGAACAGGTCCATCTGCAATATTTTGTCCAACATACTGACATGCTTGAACTGGTCAGAGTGGTGATGTACTTGGGAGAAAGTTACTTGTCTTCATCAGTGCTCCTTTAAACATATATGAGCTCCATGTCTGTGGATATTCTCAGTCATCCAGGACGTGGTTGTCCCAAAGGTGCTTTTTCAAATGTTCAGTTTTGGGGACATATATGAGCTCCGTTGGTAAATAGGATGCAAAGTTAAGAGTAAAGTTATTTTTAGTTTATATGTAATTGATATTTTAAAGAAAAAAAATACATATATCAATCCTGACAAACGTGTGTAACATTTATTCTGAAAAAGGCTCTTTTTCTTTTAGACTGTTGGCTGTGATTATGAAATTAATTCCAATGCTACTGAAGATCAGTGCGGAGTTTGCTTAGGAGATGGATCTTCTTGCCAAACAGTGAAGATAACATTCAATCAGAGTGAAGGATTAGGTAAAGAAACTTTTATCTTATACTATCAATTTACTTTATCCATTTCAAATATTCTGTAGGAAAGTATGAATAACCAGTCCAAGAAGAATAAATCTTGAAAACAGCCCAGAGGAAAGGTAGGAAAATAGTATTTCTATTTGGTTTTTTCCCCCATCTTTCCAATCAGATACTTGTATTCTTCATGAAAACCCTTAATGTTCTAAAACATTAGATCAGGAGTGTCAAACTCGGTTTCATTGAGGGCAGCATCAGGGTCGTGTTTGACCTCGGGGAGCTGGGATGGGTGTGGCCAGGATGAATGTGGCCAGCTTGACATCACTCGTGTCAGGGGCGCCTGTGGTGGCCCAACTGCTCTGCCCATGAAAACAGGCTCCCAAGCTCTATTTTTGGCTGCCATGGATTCCTGCAACCCTCTGCCAGCAAAAACGGGCTCCTGAGCTCCGTTTTCAGCTGTGATGGCCTCCTGCAGCCCTTTGCCAGTGAAAACGAGCTCGGAGCTCTGTTTTTGCTGGCAGAGGGCTGTAGGTGGCAGTTGTGGCCGAAAAAGGAGCCCGGGAAGGCAGCGCAGCCCTCCCGACCTCCCATTTTCACTGAAAGTGGCACCATGGGCTGGTCCTTCACTGTTTCCAGAGGGGCCCAGTGGACCAGATTTAAGCCCCCTTCTCTTGGTACTGGTAGTCCTCAACCTACAAAGACCATTGAGCCCAAAATTTCTGTTATGAAGTGAGACATTTGTTAAGTGAGTTTTGACCCATGTTACATCTCTTCTTGCCACAGTTGTTAAGTGAATCACTGCAGCTGATAAGTTAGTAATCTGGTCTTGCTTCCCCGTTAACTTTGCTTGTCAGAAAGTTGCAAAAGGTGATCACCTTGGGACACAGCAAAGGTCATAAATATGAACCAGTTGCCAAGCATCTGAATTTTGACCACATGTTCATGGGTGATGCTGCAAAGGTCACAACTGTGAAAAACAGTCGCAAGCCACATTTTTCAGTGCCATTGTAACTTGGCCACTCGGGGAACTGTTGTAAGTCGAGAACTACCTGTATATTATTTTGCCTTTTTAAAAGTCGGCAGGTGCAGAGGAAATAGAAAGCTGAAAAATATTACAAGCAATGTTTGTAACGATAGGTTCCTAATGCTATGAATCAAAAGGCATTTTGCAGTTATTTTGTCATCATCTACTCTCCCCCACCTCACCATATGGATTTTCTATAGTTAGAGAAAGGGTGGAATGCATGGTGGGAGACGCTGAAAGAATTAGGGCAAAGGGCTGTACTATTTGACTCTGTGCTGTTTGGTTGAACCAAGCACAGTCATTGCAAAATAAAAGGCTTATCTAGAAATATTTCTGAAGATCTAGTAGCCCAAGCAGTCAAAGAAATGCATTGAACGGGGATGCTCATAGAAGTATGAATAAAATTGCAGCATC